AATTACCTTTTCTAGTAGAAATCTATTATCAGGTACTTCTTGTAAAAATCTCTGAATTTCCTTTTTCCTTAGAATTCTGGACTTTTTCGAACGGTATCCAACTGATTTACTTTTCAAATATGGTATTAGTTTTGGAAATTTTCTGATACTTACATTTTTTTGGCATTCACTGTACTTTTTAACATGGAATATACTGACCATAACGTCGAATAATTTTATATTCGAAATATGCCAGTAATACCGCTTCAGACACTTTAAATTTTCTTCGAACTACATCACCCTTTGAATTCGTTGTAGGCAATCTCGTACTGTCTCGATGATTTTGAAACAGCACTGTGTGCCGCTTCCAATACTTCCCTGGTAAATGTTTTTCTTCACTTTCCGAGCTCATTTTGAACTATAGTAGGATCATATTCGATGCAAAGTAATAAATCAATGTCTGTCAAGGGAACCAATGAAGTACGCTTTTAAGGGTTTTACAAATTAAATAATTTCTTTATACACTATGAAGGGACGAGGGAATCAGTTCAGGTCTGGCACCCTTGTTCCTACAAAAATTCCTTTATTCTCATAAACTATTTATTTTAAATGTAATTTATTATAAATCCAATTTGTTTCCTAAATTCCAAATATGTACTTCATTTTAACTCTGTACGCGCCACTGTTGTTTACTTGTTTTTTGGAAGCGCTCTCTAATTGACGGCAAAGCTCGCCAGGTTAGTATTTGACGTATAACCGACCAGTTCGTACACTCGATGCACCTGGGCTACTACAGCTACTACCAGAACACAGTGCGTATGCAGCGGTATTTCAGATTTTACATTGAATTTCATTTTAAATTTGAATTGATTTATCTTACGCCTCCTAAAAATGATGACACGATTTTCCTTTGATAAAAGACGGACAACTTTTTGCTCTACTTTGCATCGAATACGATCCTACTATAAACACTCTTAGTATATGAATTACAATATATAATTCTGATACTACTTTTTCAAACAACTAATTTTTATTGTTTATTAGGTTGCTATCGTTATGATAGTTACCGCGCCTAAACCGTCTTAATTCAAACACAGTTCAAATTATTAATTTATAAATTTATAACAGAATTGTGTTATTTTATTGCAGTTTTCGAAAAAAATATTGTTTGCATTTCGAATTCGAAATGCTTTTGCGTTCTCGAATGGATATTTTGCCTTGCTAAGCTCGGGAAAATAACTATTTTTTAATAACTTTCGAAAATCTTGCAAGATTTTATTGAAATTTGGTACCATTATTACTTCAATATAAATGTCGCTTTAAGCTTTAGTAAACGAAGTAATTGAACTATCAGAACTGTGAATAATACCCCCTAATTTGAACTAATATGCTCATAATTTTGTCAAAGATTATGCTATAGCTTCTATTTTTTTCTTAATTTGTTGTTGAAAATTGTTTCTCAAATAGAAAAATTTTATTTGGTTAAATTCGATGCCCTCTATCGGTTACACGAAGATATTTAGGAGGGACGTAAGTTCCTCTGATCTGATTATTAGAATCGCAGAAAATTATGATAGCTCCATGTACGCAGGATATTGGGACACCTTGCGTACAGCAATAGGTTGCCATGTAGATTCCGCTAATATTGATATGACTCAACACGGAATAGGTAATATCTAAAAGTAGTTGTGAAACATTTCACAATTAATATTTTGTGCAATTTCATATTCAACATTATTATTTTCGTTTTCATAAATTTGGGTCTCGTGGGAAATAAAATTTTTTGATAAATATCTGAAATTATCAATCATTAATTAATTAACTAAAATGTTCCCACGGGTCAAGTGTCCTTAAACAAATGAAGGTGAATGCAAACTGTAGCTACGAAAGTAACAAAAATTGATACAAAATTTTGACTTAACTGAAAAACTAAATCTGCTGTAGCAATAGCAGTTTGCCTTGTTAACTTACAGTGGTCTTAAAACGAATAGAGAATATGTACATATTTCCGAAATTATGTCAAAAGTGTTGTTAAAGAAAGAAGCAAATAAAAACATAATATCACCACGATGTTAAACGGTTTTAAAATGGGACGAACCATAAACTTGGCATTTTGTGTACCAAAATTATTTATTTAATTATTAATTACGCATCTGCGGGACATTAACTGTTTTTAGAAATTGAAGGCAAAGCTCAGTTTATAAGCTAAGCCATCCTGAAGATTGGATAAAAATTCGAGAAAAACTTCCAAACCGGCATGATAAATGGAACCGCTTCCATTTTGGTTGGAAAATTTGCCCCGCTATTAACGATGTTTTATCGTTAATTTCATTTTAGAATTTATTAGCGTCCTTTATAGAGTCTGGCGATTTATAACTGGCTAATGCGGGTCTCTTCAGAGCCCCTATATTTTACAGATAAACACAGCAAACTATCCCTTACACTTTAACGAGAAAACGCTAATTAGATCGTTCACTGCATAGCCTTTATTACGGGACGTTCTAACGATAATTATGGCTTCTGTTTTGATGGCTTTAATTGGGGATTAAGATTTCTAATTAAAAATTCTGGTTCAGTTAGTCGGTCGATTATTCCGTACCCAATTGTTTCCGGACAAATATTTGCCGACATAAATCTGTGTCCGTTAAATTCGAGTCCATTTCAGCATAAAGCCAAAGTTGACATTGGAAACGGAGGCAGATATAGTAATATCTGATAACATATTTCTTAAATTCCAATGCTTTCATCTGATTCAAAAGTGTAGAAAATCTGTTTGTGATAGGAGTGCTGGACAAGGTCGGAAAGATGGGTAAAACGGTTGAATATCTACAAAGCAAATTTCACATATGTATAATCCTATTGCAATCAAATATTCGTTTTCATATCAAATGCAAATTTTGAATTACTTGAATTGATATAAATCGATTACAGTGAAATGTAGGGCTTTCATTGGAAATACGTAACCCTTTTCTCTGTGTTAAGGGTTATTTTTATTATACTCTCTTTGGCCAACCTAAAATCATGCACTGAAAATAACAGATAAGTAAAGAATACGCATCACTATAACACATTAAAAAAATATATTTATTTCTGTAGATATATATTTAAAAATGAAGTCTTTTGCTGCAAATATGAAATCTGTGGGATTAACAGAAACTGAACTATAGAATAAAAGTATTTGTCCTGTATTATACACCAATGAAAGAACAAGGTCAAGTTACATGTCACTTGACCCCTTCTTGCACCACCAATGCTTTGTTTTTTTGCGCTTAGAATTTGTTCTGATCTTTTGCTTTTCTTAAATATTATTTTTGTAATAAATAATGTATCTAATAATTTTGTCTATAAAAAAAACGTTTTGAATATTACTTACTGGGGTATTAAAAATAACTCACAAACATATTATTTCATTCTTGCACTATAAAGAGATCATAATAAATCATAAATGATCTTTTGGGCATTTCATCACTGTTTATGCGAATAACTCACTTCAACTTATATGCGAATGTTTTACTTAACTGAATGATACACTCTGTCAAAAAAGTATCCGGAATTTGTCAATATATTCAATTAATCATCGAAATTTATTTTGTCTCCTTCAAAATAAGCTTCATTTGCAGCAATACACATTTTTTCAGTCGTCAAAGCACTTTTTAAATGTATATTTCGGTATGAACTCCTTCGATCGACTTGAAACGTGTTGCACAAAGTGGTAATTTAATTTGAGAAAGAGGAGGTCTGCAGGGGCCATATCCGGTGAATACGGATGACAATCGTGGAGTTTTTGGTCAAAAATTCAGTCACAATTATCGCTTTATGTGATGGTCCATTATTGTGGTGCAAAATCCAAGAATTGTCCTTCCATAAATCTGGTCTTTTGCGGCGGATAGGTACTCTCGCTCTCAAACGCCTCATAACGCCCAGATAATATATTTGCCATGCTATTTTTGAAGAAAATACAGCTCTTTTGGAACCAGTCATGCTGCGACGCGTTTTATACCCAGAACATCAAGTAAATGGTACGAACTGATTCTTTCAAACTATAATGACGGTTTTCAAGCACCATTTCTTTCACTTCATCGAAGTTTTCTTCTTCAGTTGAAGACGTTGAAGGATCACCAGAACGTGGCAAATCATCAACCACTTCACGACCATGTTTGAATGCTTTGAACCATTCATATGCTTGAGTTTTCGATAAAACTGAATTACTTGCACATCTTTCCTCACATTTTCATTGATTCTGCACAAGAAATTCCGTTGATAACACAAAATTTTAGGCAAACCCTTTGTTCAATAATATTATCCATAGTAAAAACCGCGGAACACGCTCGCCCAAGAAAATTAACAGCTGTAAATAAACTACTTGACAGATCGCGCTCAAACTTCCCGACAGAGTAGTAAAAATTAATTTAAAGTTACTTTACGCGAAATTTTTAAATGACAAATTCCGGATACTTTTTTGCCAGAATGTATAACAAAAAAAACTAATTTAAAAAAATATATCTTTTGTCTCCTGAACAATATACATATTTGCGCTGCGAAAAAATCAATATTTTTTCATTAACACTCAATTCTGTCTGCTTTTATAGCTAGATATGTCATTGTCCCCTTTCCCATGTACCGACGTATCTGAAAAAAATTACAAAACTGAGACGTGTTCTCACATACGTGAAAAAAGGGATAATTACGTGATACAGCCGAGTAGTGGGCTAGCCGCTAACGAGTGGTATGACGTCACAACATGGCTTCCGTACATTTTCCCGATCTCGAATTTCATTAATTATTTTGAAAGAGTTTTTGAAAAGGAAGGAAAGTTTTTACACATGAACTAACTGCGGTGTATACTTTTTGAATATGAATTTAAAAAAATACGCTAAGTAAGCCAATTATTATTATTCATTCATTCCCTACAGGGGTTAGTAGTCCAGTGTAATAATTTCATTATTCTCGCACCAGGACTAATTATACTAACGAAGATGAACCCAGAATTAAGCCAACTGATGTCAAATCTTTTGTTGCAGCGGAGGCAGGTTCGTCAGCACAGGTGAAAGAATCCGCCTACCAGATGACGTAACAATGGGCTACATTATCGGTGAGTAGCGACCACGACTGCGGACTCTAAATTGAGGAAACGTCAATTAGATTAACCGCCGCAATTACCACGAATTACCGGGAGACATACGCTTAACTAACACCCACCGATTTTTTTTTTCCGTTCCAGAGCACCTACTGAAGCAGCCGCTCACGGTCGTCGATCAGTTCCACTCTCACTTGGAGCCCATGAAGTTTATCAGGCGGGACATGATTGAGGACCAGGTAAGCGATAAGCGAGCGATAAGTCAAATTAATTACGATCTAACGCGTTCTCTGTCAGGGCGTAATTGACAGTATCAGATTTTGGGGAAATACTAAGATAGTCGTTGTTACGAGGGGGCTCCTCAAGCAATCAGTGGTGGATGTGGGTTCTACTGTACGTTTAAAATGTAATTGGCCCCTTAGTTTGAACGGGGCTACAGAGAATCTCCCGGACGAAAATTGTAAAGAAATAAAAGTTATATCAGTTACATATTCCCAACAAATCTCCTAAACCATTCCTTCTTTTTTCTACTTCCACTTTCCTGAGCAGATGGCTGATATTCATTCATTAATTACTATTTTACACTTCCGTTATTTCTTTGAGAGATGCCGAAATAGAATAATGAAAGTTATACTGCTTGCTCTCTGGCTGCTAGATAATCATTTCTGGATTTCTAGTCGTATTGTCCTCGTCATTGACTCCTTGAAACGTTTATACATCCAATCCAAGAAAATAAAAATTACTACCATGATACTTATAAGCAGCCATTGGGTCCTGTTAATATTATTTTCTACATTGGTATTAACACACCACTTGATGTTAGAGCAATGACAATCTCTTTTTTTCTTCTTTGGACTGGTTCCCATCTTTTGTTATACCATGTAACATTGTAATATTTGATCATATTTTTACCATTAACAGCTTCTTACATTTTCCAGTACTTGTAGGCACGCCATGTAATATTTGGGTCATTAGTTATTCCATTAATTTATGTTTTTCTAGGATATTTGTGAGGAAAAGTTAAAAATATATCCTTTTGGTTCTACAGTATTATTTATTCTCCATTTGCATATTGCTGTTGAACCGTGTCCTACTTTTCTACATATTGAATAATGCAAATTCAACAATATAGATATTACGATATCAATTGGAATCTGTGAATCTTAAAGCACAGGACCGTCTGCACTTCTCTTGAAATTTCTTCCTATGCTTTAGCCATGATGTGTCGTAATTTATACTCGAATAGTCATTGGGCGAGTCCGGTATTGGTAGATCAGTCTGCCTGATGTAGAATCGACGGCGGCGCGCTGGTCGTCAAAGCAAACTTGTATTGGTCCACTAGGTCGTAAATAATTTTTTGCATGGTATTCTATAATTAGTTTGGTGTCAAACGCGGTTCACTTGGCTTTTCAGTGCCGTGGAAAGCAGTGCTTTGCGTGGTATATTTATTGTTGTTATAATACGTATTATTAATTATTAGTTTATATTAATATTTGTTCATATCGTAACCAGTAAAGGGTAATAGTTATTAAAATAAATATTATATGTAATTATCTAGTAATTTAGCATGGCTTTCTGGAGAACGGAAGATAACGAAATAACCCGGGAAAATCCGGTTTTTGTCCAAAGCGTCGAAACAATCTCAGAGTTTAAAAACAAAAATTTACACGTACCAAGTCAATGTATTATTTTAAATATATATGAATGTTTGAAAAGGGAAAATAGTGAACAATGTGATAAAGAAATTAGGAAACGGTTTAGCGAATTAACTAAGATATCAAAAGCGACAATTTATCGCGTAATTAAATAAGGATGCGTTATTAACCACGGCACAAAGAAGAAACGGAAAAATACAAAATTAAAGAAAATTGACGATTTTAGCAGATATGTAACACGGCGCACAATTTATATATATAAAGAAAATAAAGTTCCTACTTTAAACATGATTCGAGATAAATGAAGCGATTATCCTGATTATAATTATAAATCTTTAGATACTTTACGACAATGCGGTTTTAAACATAAAAAATTTGACAATCGCATGATAATTATGGCATCACCAATAATCGGGAAGATTATTTACAAAAAAATTCAAGAATATCGTCAACTCAATAGGAATATAGCTCGGAATATAGTATTTCTAGACGAGACAGGACAAAATTTTTGCAGACGCCTATGTTTTTATGCGGTTCCAACTGATATCGTAACGACTTAATAATACATTTAAAGTTTTAAACACTAAAGCTACTCTTACACTACAGTTGCATAATTTTCCTTTTTTTTTTTTGTTTATTGAATGTTTTACCACATGTGAAACAATTTTAAAAAATAATTAAATAAACCCTTGTGCCAAGGGTAATTTTTTCGAAAAAGTTTTGCCTAACCAAAAATCTGACACTGAAAAAAGCAGTCAGATATAAAGTAAACATATGTCCCAAAAGTTGGAATAAAATTCATAAAAAATAAAATATGATATAGTCCTGGAGTGTTACAACTTTTTTTTAATTTCGAGGCACCCTTTACACTTTTCAACTTTGAGAACTCAAACATTTTCCCAGAAAGATCATCATTTTGTGAAAATGATACTGGCAGAAACTAGTTTCTCGAGGATATTCAGTGCATTTTACAGAAAATAGAGTTATGTTCTGAATTAAAGTAGAAAAAATTGACCTAACGATTAATATTATCTTCTAGAAATAGAGTATAGAGAACACTTATACTTCTTCAGGTGCCAATGAAGATGCAAATGCAACACAACAAGCAAACCAAAAGATACTTGTTCATCAATGAAATAAATAGAGACTAATACAAAATAATCTAAATATAATTATTGGGTTTCTCTTTTTAAAATCAATGTTTCAGATCTTTGAGGAAAAAAATCGATTTTAACATTAAGAAAGAGATATATATTAATTGGCAGGAAAATGATATAGTCATGGAGTTTTAAAATTTGTATTTTTTTCAATTTCGTGGCAGCCTTTGTAATTTTGAACTTCTGAGAACTCAAAACATTTTCCCAGAAAGACGTCATTTTGTAAAAATGGTATAGTCTTTCCGAAGTAAGTTGAAGGTGTATAAAAACGCCTAACAATAAAATTTAATGACTTTCCTATGACGCCTATGCATCCCTAAAAAAGTTTTCTGCCAAAGTTAAGAAATAATAATAATTTGTATACAGGGTGTTTGGTAAGTCGGTGCATTCCTTGCAGCAGAAATTCAAAAATAAATTTCCAAAACAATAGTGTTAATTTTCAGAAAGCCTCAGTACTTAAGGACCAATTTAAGTGAGTTGGATTTCCTTTTGATTTTATTTTGCCAAAATTTACCAGTATATTCTAAACGTATAGTAGGAACTAGACACACAATTTGGTGGTATTCCATTTTGATAAATGTTTATTTATTGTTATTTATGCAGTGTTCAAACTTTTATTAAAGCACCTAGAAAAGACACACTTAAGGGATAAGATACGCGTGAATAAAAAACGATAAAAAACACGTCCGGAAGTGTAGTGAACGTGACTTCAATCGCCACGATGTAGCGATGGTCTGAATGTGGCTGGATTATTTTTACTTCAGTTCATTTCAGAACTTGTTACGGCGACAAAGACATGAAAAGTCGCTTAAAATCTTAAATGGTCTTTAAAACAAGTCTTTATAAACTTTCTTTTACTTTCCAAAATATGCTATTCTCAAAATACCGTTTTGTTTCTTTCGACGTCATTTGGAATTGGAAAGTGTGGAGAAATAATAAAAATACGAGTTTAAATAAATATGTCTTTTAATATTCGTTATTATAAATCAAATGTTTCTTGTCCGATTATATTATGTTAAGTTGATCGGGATAACGTTAAAAAAACTTCCTGGTATTTATCAACACGGGGTTTTAATGAAGCGACCTGCCCACGCAAATTTATCGACGTTTTTAATTAGTCTCGTAAAAGGTGTTATTTATTAAGGTGAGCAACACCTCATACTGGAGAAAATTTATCGTTTCCTTGTCGTAGGAACCCGGTTTGGTCGTGTTTCGTTCACGAAAATTATTATCTAGTGGTTTTAAGAATTCAGTTTAACAAACTTCGATGCCTTCACGGCATCAAACTACTAGTTTTTTAATCAAATTCATTTGAATTTTAATGAGATACATACATTTTAAGCAGTTTATGTAAATATTTTTATGTAATTTCAATTATGTATTCTACATAAATCTGTGTTTATAATAAGAGTCCACGGTTCCAAGTTTTTAGAGCTAATTAAAAAATGTTTTATTGCATGCTATAAATAGGGACATATTAAATAACTTTAAACCAGGCTTGAACTAAGCTAAAATGTATCAATTTCTACTTAATCCGTTGTCAAAAAAATAAGGTAAATTTGCTTAAAAAATAAAAAATCTTTATAACGAGCGTTCAAATAAAAACGTGGTTGAAGTTGGCTCTGACACATTGGACGTAGGGAGTAGCTTATAGCGACCAACTTAACCTCATTTCTCAACGAGCTGTATAGCAGCTGTCAGTTTCAATAACGTTAATGACTATATAACTTTATTTTAAAGAATAATCGTGATAACAATAACAAACAATTAAAGGAGCTGCGGAAAGTGCCCCCTCCTTGTTATAACAATAAATTAAAGCAGCTGCTGAAAGTGTCCCCCTCCTTGTTCCAAGCACTTTTCACACCTGTTCCTCAAAGAATTAAAGACATTTTCTAAGATGCTTTCAAAAATAGTGTTTTTATGGTAAGGCCACAAAAAGAAATCACACGGCGTAATATCACATGACCTCGGTGGAAATTCATGTTCAGCATTGAGACTTATTAGTCGATTTTGGAAAACTTCCCTCAACATATTCATCGTCTCGCCTGCCGTATGTGCCCTTGCGCCATCTTGTTGAAAGTAAAAGTTTGTAATTTCGTTTTCTTCCAGCTGGTTAACAAAAGGAGCGATAATTTCTTCTCTATACCTTTGCGCAGTAAGAGTACCATTAAAAAATAGGTCCCTAAATCCTCCTTCGATTGAGAGCACACCAAACTCCAATTTTTTGAGCGTGTAGAGGGCCCTCGACAAAAAAGTTATCTGGTTTTTCAGAAGACCACATTCTCATATTCTGTGAGTTTACGTAACCACTTAAATGAAACCAGGCTTCATCATAAAAAAGGTGATATTGTGAAGTTCACCGTAGTTGTTTAAAAACCATTCACAAAATACAGCCCGTCGCGGAAAATCAACTTCATGAAGTTCTTGCTGCTGGCAAGTTAAACGATAGGAGAACAAACGCAAATCTTTTTTTAACACTGTGTGGCAGGTACCGACTGATACTCCCACCATTTGTGATAAAACACGTACAGAAGTTCTTGGCGCATTTTCCATTATTTGTTGGACATTTTCTTTTAATTCTTCAGTCCGCTTTTTAGGTCGGCCGCTTTCTTCTTTTCTTGTTACACTGCCCGTTTCACGAAAAACATTAACACAACGCTGAACTGCACTTTGAAAAATTTTGTACTCAACAACGCCGGGAAATTGATTTTGAAATTCTATGAAACATTCCTCAATAGAATACTTCCATATTCCATCAATCTTGCGTCCATTTCTAAAGTAGCACTCTATGATAAACACTTTTTGTTCTTGAGAAAACACCATTTTAAACGCTTTTTAAAACAAAAATATTCAAATTGATAGCGGCCATATGGCACTTTGACAGATGACGTTTAAGTTCATTTGCTATACGCTACGCCCTACGTCCAAATTTTCAGAACCAACTTGACCACGTTTTTATTTGAACGCTCGTTATATGCTTCCAAATCAATTTAGTCGCCTTTAAAGAAATCCCCACCAGATACAAAGCACTTATGCCAACATCTTTTCCAACTCTCGAAACAGTCTGAAATGTCCTTTTCCACTCCATCAACGAACACTCGAAAATTATCAGCACAGATTAATACATCGAAGACAAAGTACATGAAGTTATTCAAGAACAGCTGTTATATCCATACCATTTGCAAAAAAATTCATAAATACATTTAGAAATTAAACTGTGTAGAACACCTTGTTGCCACTAAAAAATATACAATATTATTCTAACTAAAACGTAAACTTGAAACATTTTCCATGACTGACCCTTGAAAATAAAATTAACAAGTGCATAATTTTTTTTTAATAACCAGTGCTTGAAAAAGGATTTATAGCTATTAAATTAATAAGACTTCTACCATAATAAGTACACAAAAATAATCGAAAGACTAGTGGTTATTCATTTACTTGCATGTTGCAGATCTCCTTTAGCTATGCCCGGAGCAAAGACGAGTGGAATGTAGTAAAAATTGAAGGATTTGACGAGGAGCAGGATCAGAACAGGTTGGTTTTATTTTTGTTTTAAATATCTCCTTATATTATTTAGTACCCAAGTCGTTATTCAAGAATGCTGAAAAGGCAGCTACGGCATAATTTGGAATTTCACAAAAATTATCGGTTTTATAAGACGTAAAAGAAAAAGGGGTTATAAATTGATGCTATTATTTAATTTCACCATAAAAATTAAATTGAAAGGTGTTTGTCTCCGAGTTATTTGTAATGTTGTGACTTATGTGTCCCAAAATTCGCATAAGATTCAAATTTTGCGCTATTTGTAGGGTAAACTGTTGCCAACGAAAAAAAAGACAGTGACAGCTAACAGTTCGGGGTTGTTAAAAATGTAACGCTATACGAAAGGTCAACGCGTTTTCATTATTAAGGAGGTATATCGGATTTACTCAAATGCACAGATGTACTTGAAATTTATATAGCGTATTAGCCAGTGCTCCCTCTGTGCGTCATATTTTTTTGAATTTTTTTTTGAATGTAGATTTTGAGATGTTATTGTTGAAAGTTGTTCATTTTAACATAATTTTATATGGCGAAGATGGACGGTGCGGCTCTTTTTTTTGCCTATAACTGAGAAAAAATTGTAAAAATTGTGAAACAAAACTTTTCCATATATGTATAGTACACCAGTATTATCTTATTTTTGATGTAAAACTAATGTAAGTTTTGAACACAGTACAGTTAATTAGAAACAGAAACCAATAATTACATTTCTGTCTGACTTTAGGATTAATGTGGCAACGTCGCAATCAGCCGACAGCAAGGAGGGAATACATTTGAAAGACTTGATAAAAACGAAATTGATTTCAAACATATACATTTTTCCTAAATCCCATGTACATTGTTATCAACAATAATTTATACACAACAGATGATTTTTTGTAATGTTTTTAAAAAACTAGATAAATTATAAAAGTCCTGGAAGCTGCGATATATTTATTGGAATAAAAAATACGATATGATAAATCCTTTTGATATATTTAATGGTTTATAAAAACATCGTAATCATTACCTAGCAATATTTAGGGTTACATAAAGTTTTCTTTATTTGATTAATATAATTAGTAATACTTGAGATAAAAGCATTTGTACGGAATAACAAAAGAATATAATTGTTCCTCAGCAAACTTTATATCTGAAAAATTAGTTATAGTTGCAAAACTTTTGTAGCATTACTAAAATAGGATTAAAAACACGAACAGTGGGTAATAAATAATGTTAATTTCTATCACAGAACCTTCAAAATTGCATCCAACATTTTCTTTGACTTGGACGAGAGATGGGCGCGAGTGTCATTTCATTTCTTTAGAACTAAATTAACATAATTATTTTCTAGTTATCTTACGAGTTCACATGATTTACGGATTTTAAATAAAGGATACTAATATTCGCGAGGATAATACGATATATTTGCTATATATAATAATTATATTGTACATAGTTTACACACAATATATTTTTGAACGCGTACGCATCTTTACCCGAATTTGACACGCTATATCTCCGATGTCCGAGGTCTGTAGGTTCACAGTGTGTACAACTGCTAGTCAATTATTAGCGCTGTTGCCACATCTACATAGTCTTTATGCGTTCATTAAATATAATTTAAAACTACTTAAATATGATAGTTTTGTATTGTTAATTAGTCAATATGTATGCTATGTGCATATGAGTAGATTTCTTTGCTATATTATAGATAATGTTTATCGCTAATAATTTCAATAGAATTTAATTTTTTCAAGTTGGTAGCGGGTTTTAGTCCCATAAGAAAAGCATAGGACCCCCCTGCGCTCCTCACTTCCCTCGGACCCCGATGTACCTCCTTAAGCAATATTTTAAGAAACAAACAAACAAGAATTTAATTTACAGAAATGTAGTTGGGTACTGATTAAAATCTTTGCTGGCGTTATGAGACTCTTATTGCTCATGAACAGAAGTCTTCATCCAGATGAAGCATACACACGCGGCTATATAAAAGATATAAATTTAATTGCACGGCACAAATTTAATAAAGTTAACAACCCGGGTAGCTTCAGCTCTAAAAGTTATTTCTAATTCAACGCGAGTGCGTTTTACAAATCAAGTATTAATTTTAATTTAACGTTTACGGGTCGTTAACAGAAGCTTACTTATCAGACATCACAACTTATTCCTACAAATAGTGCAATAAAGCGGATGGGAAACACGAAAGGTAAATTCAATTTTCCCGTGAATAAAATTATTTCAATTACTAGGGACGGTAAAATGCTCAAATGAGACGTTACTTTTTTATTTTGTGCTAATGGAATGCGCAGTAGAGGAATGTGCGATAATATGGAAAGCACCTGAGCTAGGAGAGACATTTATTTTTTTTATGTTTTATGACCGAGTTTGTTTTACGGCCTTTTTAGTCATAAACTGAAACGCTTATTTTTAATCTAACACGACGACGCAGATGCATATGGAAATGCGAACAAAACAAAGTAATAAATCAGCAGTTTTTTCTAAGCACCTATGTATTACTAAAATACTCAACATAACTTATCCAGAGTGTAATGCTTCCGCAAATGCAAATCCTTTGAATAAAGTTGGCATATTCTAAAGATTTTTTTATTTACCACCGTTGTAGATACAGGGAACACAAAAAGACGTGATTAAGAAATTATTTTAATTATTAGTGTCAATTTTGATTCCTTACGAAGACGCAGCTGCTTGATAATGATTTTTTAAAATATGTACGTATATCTTCTTCTAAACTGACTGACAAGTTTTGTAGTGTTGTTGTATAACCTTCTAAAGTAATTTAAATGTTTAGGGACAAAGTGTTTGTGTGTCTCATTGTTAAATTTGTGTAAGATATTATGGAAAAACATGTATACGAATTAAGAAAGATGAGATTTGACAACAATGCATGGATATTGCTCCTGGTATGTGCTACATTAGTATAGAAGAAATTTAATGAAAATAAATCATTGTTAACATATTATCAGGAATGAGAATTGATTTCAAGTTAATTTGAACTTTTCGGGTTAATTCTGACCGAGAAGCACCCTGTAGAGTCAAGAGACCCATCACATATGCTATTCTAGACACCTATAGCGGCCCCCAAAGACATTCCTAAGTGGTGAGATGTCATTGGGGTAATATATTTCACTAATTAAGCGTAACACAGGCCCCGTTGCATTTCTCCAATGTAACGTACTTGTTAGCAGCGTTCCACCTGCCAAACAGCGATTGTTGATGAGTACGTAGCTGGGTTAGTCGGTTTTCTGTGTGTGTAAGATAAGCTTAATTAGTTCCACCAGGTCAATCAGTATTCAGAGCGAATATTCAATCGGTATTAAAAGTTTAGTGAAAAGTTTATACAGGCAGTCTTACGGTGACGGCCTATTAGAATATGTATTTCAGAGACCACTTCGATTTCAATTTTGAAAATTTAGGTTTTGGGGTTTTTGGGGGTGCTCTCTTTAAATAAAATAATGCCATTGTTGCCGTACTTCCGGTTGTACCGGAAGTAGCTGCCAACTTCGTTATTTTAAATGGAATAAGAGATAAACTAAAAATAAGTAAAAAATGTTAAAGCTGCAATGCCAGTATCGGTGAATAGAGAATTTGATTTTCAAAATGTGCAATTTTCTGTATGGTGCAAAAAAGTTTTAAAATTATTTAAAAAAATAAAAAACATTTTTTCAAGTTTAACACCCTGTATCACCTGTATCAAAACTGACCAAAGAATACGAGGTTTCACTTTTGGTCACCGTTTGTGAATCACCCTGTATATCTAATATTGTCTAAAACCGGTTATAAAAGAAATTTTATTATTTTTAAATCATCCAAAATACAGGTTACAAAAATACAGCTAATATTTAAATATTAAAAAAATTATATCATTTCAACAAATGCTTATAGAAATCTGACAAATACAAACTATTTAATAGCCGTAAATTCCTTTTGTTTTTACTAACTCTACTTCTTATTCTTCATCTTGTTCTTTTTCCTGTTCTTGCTCTTGCTCTTTCTGTTGCTCTTCTTGATCTTGTTCTTGTGCTTCCTCTGGCCACTGCAGATATAAAATTAGAAACGAGCACGAAAATTAGCAAAATATTGACAAATCGACGAAATATTTACCAAATTGACTGCCACTCTGTAATCGCTCAAAATAAGCAAGCGTCTACAATTCAATCTGAACTCAGTCTTAATTATGTTCGCAAAAGAAAAATTTCATATTTTACCAGTCCAGTCATATTTGCCCCACCGATCATTTAAGAAGGTGACTCGACAATTCGGTAGTACCTAATATTTTGTAATATTTCAGGTTCCTGTCTCTGCATTGTTTCTTGTTCCCTTACTTCAGCTTTTGTCCACGCCGTAGGTGAGGAACACAAAAAGCACGGTAAAATTATAGGAATTTAACTTAATAAAAAACCCTATCATTATGTTCAACAATGTGTTGTGAAATCCGTGTGTCGGTTTTACACGAATGACTGTATGGAGTTATTATGTAATTTTTACATGTAGATTTAGACCAATTATCTGTGATGTTGTATATATTTTTGGTATACCAATGTAGTTACGTAATGTTATTGATTTTTTTTAAACAAATTATATAAAAAGTGACAATTGTGACTAGTCGATTTTTAAAATGATTCGAGGCACCTTTATAAAATATATATGAAAAACAGTGCAATTATTCTTTAACACTTTTTTTACATTAGCAATATAAATTCTTATGTTTTGTTGTCTTTAATATTACCGCAAACCAAAACGGCTTTAAAAGTTTATTGAATGTAATATAACTGTTGTATTTTATTTATGTATTTCTTTTTTCTACCAACCAAGAATAACAACATATTTTGTATATTTAATTTTGTTATTTTTAAATGCTTTTATTTAGTTTGTGATATAAATACTTTAGGCGTTTATTTTGCACATAAACAGGAAATATTCACTTTAATCTAAGAAATGAACTGTCAAATTGCTTTTCTCTTGTTAATTTTTGTATTTTTATATCCTTATATATGCCTAAAATCTAAACTGTACTGAATTAGTGTAATATTGTAATGTATCAAACATATTAAAAGAAAATGTGCTAACGAATTATTCGTTTTATGTGGCAGATGGACTACTAGCTTGTAAGGGTGCAATGTTTATACCTAAAATTATTTTAAATTATATATTTGCTCAACACAAAAATAATTTTTATGGATTATATAACGCAAATTGTATATAATATGTATGAATGTTAGATGTTTATAGATTATGTAAATAAATTTTTGTTATAAAGTGTTTTTTTTATGTAATCCCCTGTTTAAATTTAAATTGCCGGAAATAAGTACACGTACAAAAAATATTTCTTCTCAGTAATTACCCTGATTTAAATTACTCAAAGTACTTTTAAATGCACTACTTGAAGTTGCACTCTATGGCAATGTAAGCTTGGGAAAGTCGTAATTGGAAATGGCTCGGAAAATCACACCACAGCAAATGGGTAAGTGCTGTTAAAAGGAACTCCACGAGAGTAGATTTAGCTTTATTATTGCAGATTTATAACATTTTTATAAAGACGTAGACACTCATCGTCTCTTACCTAAGTGTTCTGTTTAAAAAAGTACATCCATTAGATCGGCTTTGCAAGTTATTAAACATCAAATTTTGAAATTTTCCAATTTCCACATTATTAAAACAATTCACTTAATAAAAATTATACATTCTGAAATATTTTACGATTTTACTCATTTCCATATTGGGAAACATTTTTCATACCCTTTTTTAAAGATATTAGACTAATTCAAAATCAAAATTTTTTCTAAAACAAAGAATGAAACGAAAGATTGCTAGTAGACAAATTTAAATTATCAACAATAACTGAAAAATTCATTGTTGCAAGTAATTTTTACTTTTTTGCATTTTTGAGCATGTTTTTGAGCTGTGATTACAAATTTTTTTATTTCAACAAAAAGTATATGTCAAAACGAAAAAAATGATTACCGGCAGAATTCTGTACGATAATTTTTTTAAGTAGAATTTTTCTTTGAAAAAAAAGTGTTTCAGGCCGAAAAAAATGAATGTCACAGAAACTTCTTCATTTTTTTATCTAAAAAAATTTGAGGTTATTTAAGATAGAGAAAGGTATATTTTCACCAAGTTTCGTCAAAATTAAATTATTTTTGCGGAAATGAGAAATAGAAAACTAAAAATCAGAAAAAAACCTGTTCGCATTTTTCTCGGAAATTTTGAGGTTATGTTAAAAAGTGACTGCTACAAAAGTTGTAGATTTTTGCATGATTTACAACATTTATATCGAATACTTTTTTGTTTGACGTCAACTTTCGCCAGAAATCCCAATGATACAATTTTTCATAACTTTTCAACCCCCCAAATCAACTCTCCGCCGCCCCTGCTCACGCATTTATTTTGTTTAGGTTTATTATAAGCCGTTTTACCATTTCCACTTATAAAAGTCCAGGTAACATTTTTTTTTCTCCAAGTGTAATTCGGTTGGACTATAGTAAAGAATTATAAACCCAATATAAATTGCTGTTTTATAAAACAGCAGTAGTTTTTTCTCAAACTACAAAGCTCCACTACTTCTTATTGAATTTATTCGTATGATTTCACTTTGTATTTTCTCGACGATTACCTTGTCAGATTTAATATCTGCCCACCAACATTCAAGCCTTTCTTAATAAGTTGCGACAACTAATAACCCCAATTTTACACCAAGCAGGAGCGAATTTTGACATCTGAGATGACACAGAGAGATAAAGGTAAGTTAAAAGCGCTAGAATGTCTGATTTGTACTCACTTCGCGGTGATAGTTATGCATACAATTCTTTGTCTTTATTTAAAATATGTATAGACAGTTAAATAAATGTCTTTTCTCCAACCGGTCACAAAACTATGACATATTTTTGCTGGCAGAAGTTTTTAAGGTTGACATTTCCCTTACAGAGAAAAGAAAATGGTATCTTAGCGACAAAAGTATTCAGAGCTAAAGTTGACACTTAATCCTTAGATAAAAGTTTTAGTTTATAAAAGTTTATTCAACAATATTTACAATAATTCTTGTTTATCCACTTTGATATTAAATACACAGTTTGAACAAGATTGAAGATTAAAATTAAATAAACCACTGAACCCTCATTTTTGGAGCAATTCTTAAAGCAGTCCAACACGTTTTCATTAATAGTTATATTATTTTCAGATGTTGTGAAATCAGAAATGACGACGGTGCTTGGTTTATCACTACCACTATCAACTTTCAGTATTCTTTTCGCAATATTTTCTTTATTCAAAAGTGTGTTTTCAATGTAGCCTTCCACCACAGTGCTCGATCTCCATCCTCTGTGTCTTTTAAGTGAGGACACCATCTCCGTCAACTAAAAGGATAGCAGACGTTCTTCGTCCACTGTACTCTTTCCAGTTGTCCAGCTTCAAAAATTTTGACACTTCTTGCGAGACGGCACTGATTTTATGAATACCGACCACCATTAGATGACACCTTCCATTAACATATCTGCGAAATAATCGACGTTTTACCGATCCAAGTGGACGTAAAGCAACATATTTTCAATAAAAACTTAAATAATTGTCTCTCAACACAGTAAAAGAACGTGGTCTCTTGGTTTTGGTATTGAGAATTTTTATAATTAAGGCGGATTTCACATCTTCAACATTATCAATTGTTAAATTGACTAATTCATTAGAACGGCATGCGCCTGCAACCCCCAATATTAGGACGACCTATAAAGAAGCTTTTTAAAAATGTTGTTCTTTTATTTCATCAAATATAAATTATCGGGTGCACTATTCAAAAACAATCAAGCTGCTCCTTTTGTCTCCTGAGAAAAGCACGTAACTTTGAATATTTGCTTATATCAATCCCCTTATTTATATCCAACGTTGACCCCAACATCGAATATCGTGACCAAAGCGTTGACGGTTTCATTTTATTTGAGAAGTTTGAGAAATACACCATCAATACATCTTCTGAATATAACTTAATGTTTTTTTCTTTGCGCCATAAAACGGTGGTAGGTACATTCATAAATTTATCGAGATTTCTTTGAGAGAAGATTCAAAGATTTGCACACTCCAGTATCTCTTAGATTCACAAACAATCGCAAATGAACTCAATTAGCAATATCGGGACTAATGTTTGACAAAGTATCCAGATATATCGATAATCCAAATTTGATTTAAATAATTTCAAAGTACAAAAATAATAATTAATGGAGGATTTCGCTTGGAGAAAAAATAGCATGTTTTATTTGGATTAAAAGTGCCTTTTTTCGGAATTTTGTATCCGCTCGGCTACACTACGTTTCGCCTCGAAAAACTAAATTTACTCGCTACAAAAGTAACACTTAATCCTAATATAACAATATACTATTATTTATATTTCTTATTTATTAGCTACTTGTCCATTTTTAAGTACACATTTCACTATTTTCAACTGACATCTACTCTGATTTGTGGGGAAAACGGAACATGTTAAAAAATGTAAAAACGCTTTGTTTTACCATATTTTATATAGATTTACGTAAAAATACCAATACACTACTACCAGATAGGACCCTAAATTCTTGTTTCATTTTTAATTAACGCTGTTGGCGTCATCTGTCCATACGGGATTCATTAACCTACACAGGTGGATATTTCCCTAATATAATGGGTAAACGAAAAGCTATCTATGCTCCACTATGAAACACCAGCCAATATTTACCACAAAACGATGCCGAACCTGATCCCGATTTGAAATCGATACGATAGCGAGTTTAATGACAATCACACAGTTTGCCCCGTTTGATTTTATGGCTTAATTTATCCCTTGAGTTGTGTAGAAGTAGCTACACTTCTTCATTTTGGTATTAGTTCGTAGCATCGAAAATTTAATATAGTTTAGAAAAAAAAGCAAAGCCTGTAATGTAGTATATTCTGTGTATGAGAAAAATCAAAATGTATGTAATACATACAAAAAAAATCAAGTAAATATTTTTCACATTTTATAAAGCCAAAATAATCATGTTTTACATTTATTTGATCGTAGAAAAAATAATTAGTGTAGAAAGTACTAAAAATATCACTGTATATTTTTTCTCTTTCCTTTCATAGTAACCTACATTACATACAAAATATGCAATATTTGTTATTTAAAGGTGCTAAATATTTCTAAAACAGTTTCCACTTTACGACAGACCAAAATGCATCTAGTAAACGATCGAATTATTTAAATATTTCAGTAGGTGCTGCAAAGCTTTATTTCGAGTGCGATAGGAGAACGAATGGAGTAAAACATAAAATTTACAATTCTAATACCTCTTAAAAGCTCCACAGAATACAAAATTATCGTTGTTGTACAGACCTCGAACAGGATTACATAGCTTTTGCTGGAAGAGTCCGATAATCAAAACATTAGCGAAAATTAAAATTAAAAATTATAGTCCAGTCTACAAGAAATTTCAGTTTTAATAATAATAACAGCGTGTATTAGACATTTATAAAATTTTTCTTTCTTCGGTGGGTGATTGCTGCTTTCTCACCGATCGTAGCCGAAATTTGTAACTACTCACTTCAAACGTATGTTCATATGTTCCTTTACGTTTATTGCTTTCCTTACAGCCTTCTCTATAGGCAATTTCAGGGAACCATTTATTTAATTAAGGTTCAACCATCCACCAAAGTAGATCGTCTAACATTAACGTCCTACAATTTAGTACTAATGAGAGAACAGCACCACTCATTTTGATTCTGCATCCTCATACGTTTTTTGCGGACAGCATTTTGCTCCAACATTAACTTTTTTGACATAAGTGTTATAAGTGGACGGTTTCGAAGTTTTCGTCTCCTTTTTTCTTTCAATTTAGAAAAATAATTATTCGTATTTTTTTTAATTTAATGGAAATATTTTAGAAATCACGATTTTTTTTCAAAATTCGACGCCTTTTTCATGAATCAAGTAAGATATTGAATTTCCAATTAGCAGTTAAATAATAATGGTCAGAGATAGTTATTCTTCACAATTAATTACAAATATTCAGACATAATTTTTTTAAATCCGTTCTATTTTACCTATTTTATCGGAGTTTTACTTATATTTTGGAACCTATGCATTTTGGAAGAATGTTGAAGAGGAAAAAAGTTTTAGAATTGAATTTTGCACAATATACTGTTAAAAATATGTAAATTTATTACCGATGTTGTAAAATAGCAATAATTGATTAAAAGAAGGC